ATAAGGATCATGTTCAACAGATAGGTTACATGAGACCACACATAAAGATCGTGTTCTACAGACAGGTTACATGAGACTACACATAAGGATCATGTTCTACAGACAGGTTACATGAAACCACATATATGGATCATATTCTACAGACAGATTACATGAGACCACATAAGGATCATGTTCTACAGACAGGTTACATGAGAGCTTACATCTCATCTAATCTGTCTGTAGAACATGATCCTTATATGTGGTCTCATGTAACCCGTCTGTAGAACATGATCCTTATATGTGGTCTCATGTAACCCATCTGTATAATATGATCCTTATGTGTAGTCTCATGTAACCTATCTGTTCAACATGATCCTTATGTGCTCTCATGTAATCTGTCTGTAGAACATGATCCTTATATATGTGGTCTCATGTAGCCCAACAATATAACATGATCCTTATGTGTGGTCTCATGTAACCTGTCTGTATAACATGATCCTTATGTGTGGTCTCATGTAACCTGTCTGTAGAACATGATCCTTATATGTAGTCTCATGCAACCTGTCTGTAGAACATGATCCTTAGCTTACATAAGGATCATGTTGAACAGATAGGTTACATGAGACTACACATAAGGATCATGTTATAGAGACAGGATACATGACACCACACATAAGGATAATGTTTTAGAGACAGGTTACATGAGACCACATATAAGGATCATGTTCTACAGACAGGTTACATAAGACTACATAGAAGGATCATGTTATAGAGACAGGTTACATGAGACTACACATTAGGATCATGTTCTACAGACAGGTTACATGAGAGCTTACATAACGATCATGTTCAACAGAGAGGTTACATGAGACTATACATAAGGATCATGTTCTACAGACAGGTTACATGAGAGCTTACATAAGGATCATGTTCTACAGACAGGTTACATGAGAGCTTACATAAGGATCATGTTCAACAGATAGGTTACATGAGACTACAGATAAGGATCATGTTCTACAGACAGGTTGCATGAGACCACACATAAGGATCATGTTCTACAGACAGGTTACATGACAGCTTACATAAGCCTGTAGACATGGATCCTGACCAAAGTTTGAATTTGTATTTTTACACTTTGGTTCTTGAGAAACCCACACCAATGACCAAGCTAGACTGTCATGGCCCTGCATTTTCAATCTTAAGCTTTCCTAGTTAAGATCAAATTATTAACCCTTCTATCTTCTTTTCACTAACCTGCCAGTTGGGGTGTTCTCTGTCGTTGTTGAAATATATTCTCAATGTTGCTGAATCATGGAACTGATGGACAATTTTTTCCTTTTAATTTCTTGGTTGCCTTCCACATGTGGGGCAGACCTTACTTGAAACCCACGGATGAAAATGTGTTACTAGACAATATCTTAAATGCAAGCATTGGAGGCCACTACTATAGGTTTAGCCCTCTGGACTCATGAATATCAGAAACCACTGCTCCACCATTAGTAGTCCAAACCATGGAGCCAGGGATTGTCAGTTTAGACAAATCCATGATATTCAGTGCAAGTCTGCTACGTGAAGCAGTCCTCCAGGTGGTAAGGTCACTCCACAGATCCAGATCTTTCAACTACCACCCTAAGGGCAACAACCCAAGTGGTAGCCACAGCCATGATTGCAACTTCCACCATCCTTTGTATCTGAATCATCATTGTCAGTTCCTCCCATTGTTCCTATTAATGAGGTAAAAGACCATCTCTTGTTCCAGCAATTGGTAGCATTAAAAAGCCACTGCCAAATGCAGGCAGTCTGAAGGATGGAGGACTGGTAATTATATAACTACAAAGAAGACTATCTGTTGAAGCAGAGAGAGCTTCCAATGGGGCTGGAGGATTTGATATTGGAAAGCTCTTATGAGAGCCCAGAAACATCATTTGTTTGACCTCCACAGTGCACTGGAAATACACAGCTGCATTGGAATATTTAAATAGGTTGCTCTAGCTTTCCTGCCAAACTGTATATAAAGTTAGTGAACCTGTATGTACATATTAGTAGTTGATTTTTTTTGCATGCATTTTACCTTTGTATGGGTGCATATATATGTATATTTTATCATGTTTAGGATTAAGATTTTCATTTTTATAACTAAGATCATAATGTGTATAGTGTATATACATATTTTTAGTATCTAGGTTAAGGTTATTATAAGATTTTGCCATTAAAATTATAAATAAAAAAATAGCACAAGTGATACAGTTGTCAAACCCTAGTCCAGGTTAGTTTGGAATTTTGTTTTGTACCAGTCGTACTCTGTTTACTTTATGTTTTGCATTTGAACAAGAACAATAATAAGTTTCCACTTTTAACAGTTATGAAGCTGTTGATGTAAGTGTTTATATCTGTTCAGAAACTTAAGAATCTTAGCATTCCAGAATTTGTAACAACTGAAGCAGTAACTCGAATTTGGCCAAAGGTTCGATCCTCTATAGAGTCACAGCAGCGTTACTTCACCTTCTGCCTGGTGTCAATACCATGCCTCTAGATTATACTGTTAGTCTGTAAAGCATTTAAATAGAATTTTGAAGAGGATTTTACTATACATAAATAACATCATGCATATCATAGTTTAAATATTATTTTTGAATTCAAAATTATAAACATATTCTTTGATAAGAAAGTTTGTCTACACTGAAATAACTAAATGATGGTTATAAGTAGGTTTTATAGAAATGTATTTAAAAGTCACCAGATAATGAATACTTTTAATGGCACTAACTAAAAATTTGGAGTAACATTAACTGTCGTAAGTTGCTTGTTTTACCCAGATTTTGTATTAGTTAATCAAACATCCCATCATATTCTAAACACATAAGATCAATTTTGTTCAGTCAAATTTAATATCTTGTACCCCCCAAAAAAAATGTGTAACCACCATTTCAAAAACTTGTACGGTAAATTGTTATGTACAGTAACATTGATTATTATTAAGAAAAAGGTAAAATGTTGTATATAATTAATTAACATTTATTCAATCTAACTATGTAAAAATTTGAAAACCCTTAAAAGAAAGTAACATCATATTATGATGACTGTATAGTATGAAACAGCTACAATATTAACCAACTACTGTTACAATACAGGCATAAAATAGTTAAAGCCATTTTAGTTTTATAATCAATACTTCAGTATCTTAACTGTAACAAACACGTTCTTACAGCAAGTCTCTTGGACAAGTATTCTTCAAACACTGGCTTCTTCACATTCAGAAATCCAGGGCTTGTATTAGTTATATGCTTAATTTTGCATGATTGATTTACTTCTACAAAAACTACAAATCTCTTCAACAACTTACAATCTGCAAGAACATTTAAATGAAGCATCTACCATGGAATGCCATATTACATTTACTGGAAAATGCTCCTGCGACATTGGCTTCATGGGGATGATATGCGTGTGTCATTTTCCATGCAGATCTATCAACCATTTCCATAAAACTTTTTAAAAAATTCACTCTTACTGGCCAGCTTCTTCATATTAGTGTATTTTCAATATATTATCTACCTTGTACTTCTAGGCCACAAATACCTGAAAAGTGGGGAAAGTGATTTAAGTTCCTTATCTTTAGAATTATAAAACTTGCAAATTGATGTACCCTATTTATATAATAATTGTTTCATATCTGAACTTTTAAAATGTACAATACTTATATAATTAAGGAAGATTTTAATTGTTCTAATCTTATTTGTTAAATTTGACTTTTCTTTTTAAATTCAGTTATAACACAATTACTATTACAGTTTGTTGTAAAAAACACAAAACTATAGTATTTGTTACAACATTTTAATGAAATACTAGAACACTTATTATCATATACATCACATGAACCAAATGTTCACAAACAAAAATTAACATACACACTTATTAGCGTCTGCGCTGTCTGAAGCAAGACAAACAAAAAACTTGATGGGAACGCATTGGTTCACCATTGGGCCCCGGTACTTTTACAAATTCATGTTGCCACTGAATTTTGGAACCCTCTGGACCAGGTGTGCGAGCACCACAAGCGGAACATTTTGCACAGAGACGGCAAACCCAACGACCACTTGGTAGGCTCTTGAGTCCAACACAAAAAGTGTGATAGCCACGATCACACTTATCACAAAACATCATTTTGTCTTCATCGTTTGGATCTTGACAGATATTACACATCTTGCACTCCATACATTGCCATGGATAGGTTTTTATCACATTTACAATTTCTGGAGTCAGTTCTAAACATGAAGGATGTCCACTGTTGTTGCACTGTGAGCAGTGAACTAGTTCTTCTGGAACACCTTTCTGATTTTTGTCCTTTTTACCTTGACATACCTTGCACACTGCATTTGGCTTAATCTTGGGTTGATATCGACTAGTGGCAGCTCCATCTGCTCCAGCTTTAGTGCGATTTTGTGGTTCCGAACCTGAGGTACTGTCTACGCTTCCTTCCTCGTGGGTTCCTTGACTGCTACAACAGGATCCTTCCGATCCTGAACTGTCTTCAGAGTCAGACTGACTGCCATCTGATCCTATCTGAGCAAATACAGTTCCCAGCTCCTGCACTGGCCCATAAAGAACTGTGTTTATGGGCAAATAATTCAGCTCTTGAGCCGAGTATGTACGATAATAATCTTGATATTGTCCAGGGATCAAAGCAACTGGATATTTGCCTGGCTTTGTTGCTTCTTTGGGCAATTTTTTGATCTTATTTTGTGGATAATGAATGGTAAACGTTTGAAGATCAAAGCATGCACGACGTTCCTCCCTGCGTTCTAGATTTAAGTGTGCATTATATTCGGCTGCCGAATGCACAGCTTTTTTAATGAAATCCGCCATTTTGCTCTTCTCTATGGTTGCTGTAGCATATTCCTTATGTTTATCGCTAATATTCTGTCTTTCTTTATCTTGTAGAACTCTAACATAGTCCTGATACTTGGTTGGATAATCTTTACTCATGAGTTCTATTACATCATCAGATCTTAAAGCAGTCAAACCCAGATCACACTGTGTCTCAGAAACGATACCCCGATCTTTCAGAAATTGCCTTTCATCCATGTCTACAGTACGGCGAGCTAGTTCAGGGTATTTTCTTTTAAAAGATTTTACTCCCAAGAACTCACTAATCTGCTCCTGCAGCATATAAAACTCACCTTTCTCAGGCGGCCACTGATATTCAAACAAGTTCTCTACAGGAAATACACTTTCTTCCAAGCCAGAAACAGAATCATCGTCATATAATTCCTTTTTGTTTGCTCCTAGGCTAATCTGAGCACTCAGGCTATTTCGAGAATCTTCATCTAAAGCAAGCGAAGTACTTGGTTCATTTTCCTTTAAAATAGGTGTTTGTGGATTGACGAAATTCCAAGAGCTTTGGGTATCTTCTTCAAAACAAGGTAAAGCTGGACTTAACCGCTGCTCTTGATTGTTTTCGTAACTCACGCTAGGCCTTTCACAACTGTCTCTCGAGTTACCGGTAGTAGAATCTCTTGACAGACCAAGACCTATATCCATACTAACCGGTAGACTATGCACCTCACTCGGACAAGCAAACTGACGACCGATATCAGTTATGCCAGATGGAAAAGAAGAAAACGAATCATTATCGATTTCTGAATTGCACATTATATTTCCAGTAGCTGAGTTACCGCTTGAATCTTCGTTTATTGTGTCAACATCCATCACGAAAATTTCAACTGTTCCGACAAATTCTTTGTAATTGATGCAACGCCCTCTACAATAATTTATCGATTATATTATAGTGAATTTTTTTTTTTTTTTTACAAAAACTTTAAATAAATTATTAAATATGAAATAATATTCTAAATGACATAATAAAACTAACGGCCTTGTTTGTAAGCGGAGAAATAGTACCATAATATAAGGAGTTTTTATGAACCAGTCGTTAATAAAACAATTCTATATGATGCAAAACGCATATTTTAAAACCACCCTCTACATAATTAGAGAAAGTGAATTATGCATTTAGAGATGGATCAGACCAAACTAGAAGACAATATTCTTCGAAAAAACAAGAAGTAGCATTAGGCTCAAATGAAGATTGTATAAAGGAATGGCAGCAATTCTTGGAATAAGGATGTATACAAACATGCGGGCAAAGAACTGATTTTTAAATTGTATTTTTTGTTAAACGGATTTTCAGTTAGTATATTAAGTATCTTCTCATCGAAATTAGGCAGACATTACTGTCTAAACTTCACTTTTTGATTGAACAATTAATGACGTTATTATTTAATACTTTGTTTTGTGATATGTTTTATCGTTTCTTGTTGAAAGGATTTGAGGGAAGATGGCGCTTTTTTTAGTGTAAAGTTAAACTATGGGCTATTTGTGCTACAGTGGGAAATCTAACCCCGATTTTTAGCACTGTAAATCTGTAAACTCACTGCTGGTCAACCGGGGGACTTTGAGGGGCGAAAAAGTTGTTATAGCAACCAACAACGCAATAAAATGTTTATATATATGTATATATTAAATTGTAGCAGGATAATTTTAAAGCTGAACGAGGTGAACATATTGCTCTTAAAAATGTAGAAGTTTCATACAGAATGAAGCTAAAATGGTTTATGATAGACTCATAGAACATATATAAATGTTCTTTGGTAACCATACAATAAACTATATAAAAAGCAAAAGCAAAAATCAGCTGTTTAATTATTCTATATAAAAATGGTGAAAAAGTAGTATATAGAAATATGATATTACATAGTTATGCTGTTTTATTAAATAAGCTATAGTTTTTTTTATACTAAGTTCGTAAACATTCTGCCTAATGGTGCTACTATACATTATTATACTTGTGTCATTTAGGATTGCACATGTACTAAATGCAAACAAATTATTTAGTGTAATATTAGAAAGGTTTTCATTCAATAACGCTGTCTAAATATATATATAAAAATATTGTTACGACAGCGTAAGTCACGTGACGCTAGTAACACGTCATGAGATTCTAGAAGGATCGGGGAACATCACGAATAATCCAGTATTTGCTAGGCGCCCTCTATTCTTGTATATAAGTGCACCAGGTAAAGCGAGACAATTAATCGGAATAGAATTGCAGACAGCCAGAGACGGACAAATGAGTCAAGCGCGGTAGTAAGTAAGTGCGTGAATCGTTCGTTGTGAATTATAGCGTGTGTTTAAGTTAAAGTAACTGTGGAAATTAAGTGTATTGCAATATTGTATTGAGAAAGAATAAACTAGTTTTATTTAAGAAAGGACTTGCATCGCTGAAGTTTTTCGGAAAGAATTTCAAGGAAAATTAACAAAAGACCAGAGACGTAACAATATTTATTTATTTCCTAAGTAATTAGCTCGATATTTTTCTTTGTACAACGTAGCAGAATCTTCATGGAGTAGAGTTTAGTTGTTTAGAATTTGTGAAAAGTAAAAACTTTAGGAATTATCAAATAACGCTAAAAATTGGATTTCGCTGCGAGCATAGCACAAATAGCTTAGTGCTTAATAACAAAACTTTACGTACATACAATAAAATCACATACACTGAATGAATTTTGAATTTCATAACTGAAATCAGTAACAAGAGGTCTTACGTTTCTTTGTTATTTGTTTACCCTTATAACTTATACATGAAATGTTTCTAGAAATTTCTTGAATGCATATTTGAAATTCGTAAGGAAAAAGAGACACATTACGAGAAATTTCTTTATTATATTCCTAATTTAACATAATAATATATTTTTTGTAATAACTGGACGATTATGCGACTCACACTGAGCGTAGGCTAGTGTTACGTCTCCTTTCGTTAGTTAATTTTCCTTAAATTTCGTTCCGACGAAACTTTAGCGACACAAGTCCTTTCTTAAATAAAACTGGTTTATTCTCTCTGAATACAACTTTGCAATACACTTAATTTCAACATTTGCGGTATAACAAACTCTATAACTCACAACGAACGTCTCACGTGCCCAACAATATTCTCTCTCTGTCCGCAGCTCAATTACTCATTGTTCCATCACGTTGTGACCGTCTT